CCGGGGGGGCCGTGGGCTGGGGGCCCTTGGCCAGCGCTGCGCGCCGACGCGCTCCCTACCTCTGACGTAAAGGTTAGCGGGGGAGGAGTAGCGCACGCCCGCGCTGTTGCTGGCCACGCACTCGTACTTCCCCTGGTCCGTCTCCTCGCTGCTCTCGATCTGCAGGCCACCTGCAGGGGAGAAGAAGACGGCAGCGGAGACACCGGCATCACCATTTTGTTTCAAGAGGGAGCAAGAGAGTCAGCGTTGTGCTTTCTCCTTCCCTTCGGGGAAGGATGCTGCCGGCTACAGCTCCTGCCTGGGCTCACACCAGCTCTTGCCTAGGCTGACACCAGCTCCTGACTGGGCTCACACCAACTCCTGACTGGGCTCACACCAGCTCCTGCCTGGGCTCACACCAGCTCTTGCCTAGGCTGACACCAGCTCCTGACTGGGCTCACACCAACTCCTGACTGGGCTCACACCAGCTCCTGCCTGGGCTCACACCAGCTCTTGCCTAGGCTGACACCAGCTCCTGACTGGGCTCACACCAACTCCTGACTGGGCTCACACCAGCTCCTGCCTGGGCTCACACCAGCTCTTGCCTAGGCTGACACCAGCTCCTGACTGGGCTCACACCAACTCCTGACTGGGCTCACACCAGCTCCTGCCTGGGCTCACACCAGCTCTTGCCTAGGCTGACACCAGCTCCTGACTGGGCTCACACCAACTCCTGACTGGGCTCACACCAGCTCCTGCCTGGGCTCAGTGTTACAGCCAGACATGGACCCAACTGGCAAAGAAAATTCAACCCCCCTCCCTACACTAAGTGTCACTCCCTGTACTGACAATCAGCGAAGGAGCCGCTTTTGTGGCTCCTGCAATGCAGGCGTTCTGCACCACGACTCGGGGAATCAGCTCCAATAACCCACATTACTGGGACCCCCAGGAATCCATCAGCAGGCAGCTGACTTCCCCTTGCTCCATCCGAGAGCGCAGGGCTCTGGCACCCACCGCCTGAGATCCCTGGAGCCTTTTTATCACTGCTGCCTTTGTTTGGTGCCTAAATACCCGATTCACAGGGAGGCTACAGGAGATAAGAGCCAGTGTGAAAAGCACATTACTGATAGTGGATGATTCCCAAAGGAGAACCCTGGAAGTACTGCATTGGAACTTCAAAATTGGCTGTGTGGTTTACACCAACTGGGCCAAAAGGATTAAGGTTTTTCTTTAACCTGGGCATTACTGCAGCCTACAAGAATATACGCAGTGCCCATACTAAACACCTCTGTAAGCAAACATGCAGAGATATACAGCATGTAACTACATGGGAGAAAATTGCCTCATTTACCTCAGAAGCCTTCATCCCTGCAAAACTCCAGTTAAAACACATACTATATAAATAATTCAATAGGCTATCAAATGTTTTATGTATTAGGAGTACATGATTATACTACAGATATGGACAGAGCTCACACGCAGCAAGACTCTTAACTCCCATCTCTGGGAAAAAAAAAAAAACAACTAAGTAAGAAAACCAAACAATTCCAGCTCGACATAATATTATTGATAAAATCTTAAGTGAGAAAAGTGCAAATGATATCATTGCTGGTTGCAGACCCAGCCTCTTCAGGAAGGGAAAACCAGCGTGGTGACAGGAGGAGGACACGGAGCTCGTGTTCCTGTGTGTGCACGGGTGAGAAGATGCTGTGTGGGAAGATGTGAGGCTGTGAGAGTATTTGTGAGAGGGACAGGGTGTGACAGTGAGACTCTTGCCAGCATCCGCTGGGCCTGGTAGCTCCCAAAGGCAGAATAGAGAGAATTAAAGAACAACAAAACCCCCACCCCAGCCACTAAACCAAAGGGATTTCATTTCAGAAGAATCTGTGGGTATTCCAGCATAGCAGGAGTTAGAAACCAAACAGCAGCTCCACAATGAGACACCAACTGAGCAGATTTCACAGGGAGCTACAGCTCGAGCAGAAAGCTTCACTGGTCAGTGAGCTCTCCTAGAAATTTCTGTTCACGTGGAGGAATCTGTGGGTTGCATCTCCTGTTGCTTCTACCAGCAGAGAATTATGGACTTTTACATCTGCTGGTGGAGGCAAAACCAAAGCAGAGTGTTCCAATGGTTTTTTGACTTTCAGTGACAACTTGAGGTCTAGGATCTTTTTGCCTCCACTAAAGAGAGCAGAAGCTACTTACCTTGAGTGTCTTTCCCAGAGAAACCTACGGGTGAGAGAGTGGGGAGGAAGGGGAAGAAGGCTCTGAAGCCAAACAACTGAGTACGCTGAGATGGCGAGTGCTGAAGATCTGACTGAGCAAAGGATTGGAGCACCTTGCACCAACCAAGAGAAGGTCCTAAGTATTTATCAAGCTTTGATAGCGTTTAATACTCAAGATAAACTTCAGTCCTTCACTCCTGGAGAGATTAGCTCTTAAAACTCTGCCATAAATCTGAGGCAGCACAGCCTGAGATGTGATTACAATAACAGTATCAGTATTACCAAGTGCACCCAGCAAACAAAAAAGGACATTATAACCATATATAAAATAAAAGACAGGTATAGTAAAAGAAATACTGAGAGGTGAAGCAGGACAAGAAAACATAACAACAACAACAACAGAGAGAATCTGTATTGAGCACAGGTCAATGAAACAGGAACTGAGTGGAGAGAAGTGTTTGGAGAGTGGGTGAGTGAGTGAGCTGGGGTGTCTTACCTCGGATCGGTGTACCTTCTGCAAAGGAAACAAAGAACAGAAGTGAACAGACTGGAAAACCCCAAACACCTGACTGCCTGTGGGAAAAGGACCTGAGTCAAGGAAGACAGTTCCCAGTAGGAAACTTTCTGCTCTACTTCTTAAATTATAGGGACAGAGTGAAGAGGGCTCCTAATGGGTACTTAAGGTGGGATGGCCTTTTTTCAGTCCAATTCAGAGGGATCTTTACAGAGCATTTGGCCTGAGAAGTCTTCAGACTGGCTCCATTTTGGTGCTAAGGGGTGCAAAGAAAATCTTCAAGCTCTCAGCTAGTGTACTGTTTGCTGCTGGCAGAACCTGCATTTACCTTCATCACTCCTGGGGACAAGGGTTGGCATTATGGCCATGACAGCCCAGGCAGGGAAAGGGACATCCAGGTTCCCTGCACCACATTAAGGGCTGCAGGTCTGATCCCAGCTTTGCCAGTAAATCCTCAGTTCCAAACTTTAGCTACTGGTACAGATGTGCACGGAACCCAGTGCAAGTTCTTACCAGAACCTCCAGTGGCTCTGCACAGGGACTGAAGGCAGACACTCTGTGCTGAAGAAGGCCACGCTACTGTACAGTGAAAGGGCTACAACTCCCCAACTGCTCTGGAAGCTTCCCTAATGCCTGTGCAGGAGGGGGCTGGATGGGGACAGAGGGGTCCTGCTACACTCACCTGCTGACTGCATCTCCCCCAGGTTATTTTTATTCAGCCCCCCTGCAGTTGTCTCTAAGTGCCTGACCTAAGTCTTCTGCCCTGGCAGGTCTCACAGAGGGGAGGAAGGGACGTTGTGGCTGGTGAATTGTGCCACAGGCAATGGTAAAATCACTGGGTTTGACCTCCTGAGGGTGCAACCATCTTCCTTTGAAAACACGGCAGGTCCTTTTGCTCACAGTGCCATTCACACTTGTCACACAGCTCATCAAAGAAGGGGGTTTAGTTGGTTGGTTTTTACCCCAATCCTGAGAACAGGGCAGATTCCGCACTCCCAGCACTGCCTCTCACTAGGGGAAATGCAAGAGCATGCAGTGGTAGCTGCTGCCATTCTGCACTGCCCAGCCAGGGCTCCTGGAGCACACTGCATGGCAAATACCAGCCTTGCACCCTCTCCTCTCCCCTGGGCAGGCACAGCAGTGTCATCACCCCCGCTTTACAGATGGGGAAACTGAGGCAGAGGTGAAGCAACTTGCCCAAGGTCACGGAGGGAAGTCTGTGGCAGAGGGAAGAAGAGGAGTCAAAGCCTCCTGCGTGCCCATCTTCTGCCTTAACCACCAGAAAACCCCTTCCCTCCTCACCCTTCAGCCCTGCTCATCCGTCTTGAGCTGCGGTTCAATCCCCCATTTTCAGGATCGAAGGTAAAAATACATAGATACTGGTTACAGTTCACCTTTATTCTTCAAAGGAGGTGAGGGAGGAGAGGAATTACAGTGTTAGGATATTAGATTCTAGTTATACTCAGTTTCTAGTTAAGAGGTGAGGTTATTTGCTAGAGAAAAGTTAGCATCTAGTTAGGGTTAGGAACTAGCTAAGGTTAATAAAGCAGGCTGGTTAGCTATCAGGACAAAGGTTGGAGAGACAGAGCTTGAAAGAGAAAGAGGTGGGGGGAGCGTGTACTTGGGCAGATCTCCACACAGGAGACAGCAGGAAGGTTTCAAAAAGCGAGCAAGAGAGAGACTAAGCAGCAAAGGGTTACAGATCAGTTCAGTGGAAACAAAAACAGCCTCTGATACATCCTTCTGTCTCAGAACTGGAGTGAAAATCTGCCATCTGTGGCACAAATCTGCAACGGGGCTAATGGGAAGAGGGCAGAGGAGGGGAAGAGACCCCAACATCACCCACTGCTATGAAGCTTCTGTGGCCTTAGCTAAGCCTGGCAGTTTCCTGCAAAGGGCCCCTCTAATTGGCAGGAGAAACACGCTGAAGTTAGAGCTATGGAAGCACAGAGACAACAGCAGCAGCACCTTCTCGTGTCCTCGTGGGTTGGTTATTCCCTGTCCCCTCTAAGCACCAGCATTGCCCCTGGAGATAGGCTGAGAGCAGCTCCTGCAGACAGGCTGTCCTGGAGACAGTGCTCTTGGGGAGCAAGCCAAGCAACACCCCGTGGTCCTTCTAACTCGGGCACCCGGGACACAGAGGTGAGGGGCAAAACTTGTTTTGCAAGATGCCCCACACCAGGGGTGGAGGGGATGGAATCTGAATCCGAATGAGACCAAATAACTTGGGAGGGAAGAACAGCAGTTTGAGTGGTCGCAGGGACACAGATGGTAGATTTTCACTGTTGGAGTTTCACATCTAACCAGCTTCATATTCAATACAGGGGCAGCAGGATGGTGCTAGAAGAGGATGTGAAATAGAGAAATTGTTCTGAAGAACTCTGAAAAGTCGTGTAAGGTTTGGTAAGGAGCTGTGGGGGAGGCACCTGCTCTCAGGAGCTGGCTTGCCTGGTGTCCTAACAGTGCAGGAGCAGGAGGCTAACCACTGTCCAGGGCAGAGGGAGGGCACCAGCTCTGCAGGAAAACTACAGGAGGAAGAACTCCCACTGGATGCTGACTTTCTGAGTGAAAAGCTGGCTTGGAGATGCCACGTGCAAACTACTCCTATTGCCTGCCACAGCCTGCCAGGATCTGGAGATCTGCCTATTTAGGGCAAATTTTGAGGCTGCATGAGCCCAGATGGCCAGCCTAACGTGCAGCAGCAGAGGCAAAAGGCAGCTTTAAGGACTTGCCTCTGGATCCCAAAGGACCAAGGTGATGCCAAGCAGAACACCACGTGCAGGTGTCCCCCTTGGCTGCAGAGAGGGGATCTGCTCTTCCACCACCCCTTCCTCTGACTTCCCCCGTGCCAAGCTGCCCACGGATTCTCCAAGCCTTGAAAACAGGGAGAGGAGGACAGTCACCATTGCCATGGAAATGACAGCAAACACATCCCCACCTTCTGTCAGGCCACGTGTGAGAACATGTGTGCTCTGCTCCTCTCCCCAGGGCTGGAGGGAGCTTGCTCTTCCAAACAAGCAAGCAATCATCAAGGGTCTTGTGCAGTTTTAGAATGCCAGATCCTGGCTGACAGCTGCATCCCCAGTAACAAAAGGGGACTTGGCACAGGGAGGAGAAGTGACGTGAGCTCTGCAGACAGGCTCCTGCCTTCTCCAGGGGCAGGGATGAGCCAGAGCAAGGGGGGGGCTCTTCCTTCACTCAGCCCTTTCCCACAGCTGATGACCTGTGATTTACAGCTTCCATCTAAAAATGCTGCTCCCCCACCTCTCCCTTCTGCAAATGCCAATAAACCTGTTAGATGTGAAGCTCCAAGACCTCCTGCAGGTGTGAACACAATTATCACAGTTCCAGGGTACAAGCTATTGTGTAATTGGGGAATTCCAGGACAACTGTTGCTAAGATACAAAAAAAAAATCTATCCAATGTTTAGAGGTTCATATTTAACTGTTATCTCTTTATACAGATATATTAATTAGGATGGTTATTATTCTTTTTGTAGCCTGCAATACCCCTGCAGAGATTCATTAAGAGGGCAGAATATCCCTACTGAAAGAGTTAGTAGAAGAAATGCAGAGCATGCCTCTCAAGAAGCTGTTACAAAGGTATTAGTTTAAAGGGCAAGGGTTACAAATCTGGACATTAGCAGGTTTGGGGGTTTTTTGGTATGACTTTTTGGTTTGTAATTAAACAAACTTACCAAAGGTCTCTGAATGTTAAAAAAAGTGGGGGGAAAAAAAAAGAAAAGAAGTTTGTTATAGCCAGTTATTTAGCAAACAGAAGACACACACAAGACACAAAAGGTTTTAGTGTTTCTCTGAGGTAAGAAGGTGGCTGCCTCCCACCATCCCCCCCTAGATGGCACGGCTGAGCAAAGGACACTGGCTTCTGCTTTAAACATCCTGAGACCACTTGCACCAGGGTCTAGCAGAAACACCAGCTTCTCTTCCACCACTGAGACCACTTAAACTCTCAGACAACCTGGGTCTCTAAGGCTGAGGTGTTCGTGCATGTCTAAGGGAAGCAGGAGCCTAAAACCAGGCTCTTCCCATTCTCCTCTGACTGACAATTCAGCTTTTCATGCAGTCCAAACCCCCAAGGATTAAAAGATTTCCAGTTGCTTGGAAAGTTTTTCTGGAGGTGGAAAGGAGAAGAGATACTGCAGAGAGAAAAGCCACGGTGGTTAATGACATATCACCTGCTTCTCAGCTGTACTGAAGACCCATAACACAAATGGGTCCCTGGGATGATGTGAATATAATGGCCGTGGTCTCAGAGGTCCATTTATAGAGCCAGTCAAACACTGAGTTTTCATACAAATTAGACCCAAATCTGGACAGAGCTGCCCAATTTCACAGAGCTCTGCGGATGACATTTCTCTTGTACCTTTTAATGAGCTAATTTGCATGTTTGCCACTAACTCATACATTGCTATAAATTCAGCTCTGAACACCCTCCGTGACGAAGCAGCACGAGCTCCTCTGCTGAGGAGTTCATCTGCAGGGCAGGACCTGCTGCCTGTCCCACCCTGCTGCTCTCTCAGCCTGGCCCAGTCTCCAGCAGGGAGCAAGGCACAGGTAGGTGTTCAGAGACAACACAGGCACTGGCCCCTAGCTCCATCTGTCAGCACACAGTGCAGCAGTGGGGCTGTGGTTCAGCCCCAGGGTCACTCCTCCTCCCTGCACCCCTGTTCCAGAGGGCTCCTCACACACCCGTGAGCTGGGTGTGATTGTTAATCCCCCAGAAGCTGGGCTGGAGTCCCGTGGATGACCTGTGGGTGAAAGACACTGAAGCTCATCAGCAGTGTCCTGAAGCATCTGGTGCCCTAAGGGGTGCTGCTGGCCCACTTCCAGCAGCAACGTTTGTTTTCTGGAAGGATAAATGGATTAAATGAAGTTCTGACTGGAGCAGCACTCGTGTCCTCAGAGCTCCAACAGGCATCGCCTTGCACATCACACCCAGGTGACAAGCAACACCTGAACCTGCTCCTCCCTGGGCTTAAATAACTCCTTTCCATGACCAAAATGCTAACACAGTACAGATGACCCCAACAGCAATATGTTCTGCACCTTCACAGGCCTTTCCATCACACAACGTGCAAGTTCTGAAAGGCCACAGAAGTGGATGCAAGAGAACTCCAAAGTCCTGACTGCCCAGGAATCCTCACTCCCTTTCACACAAGCAACAGGTTTCCATCCCTAAGGACAAGGGGGATGCTTCAGGGTTTCACCAGTTTACTCATTCAAAGCAGCTGTAAATGAGATTAACTCTCAGCAGGTATCTTCTGATCTATCAGAAAGGCCAAGAGTTCACTCTGAGGCAAACCAATTCACTGGAATAAAAATGCAGCACGCGGGTGGCTTTAAGGAGAACACCAGATCAAACCAAGTTAAAGAGTGTAAAGGCATTCTAGCAAGATGATAAATGTATTAAAAATAATCTGCCCGTGCATTACTCACACTTCAGATCATGGGCACAGAGCATGATATAATTCTAGTTTACCTCTCATTATTTATGCTGAGTGATTTTTTTAATTTGCATTTGCCTCAGCTGCTCTGATAAAACAGGGAGGTCAATCTCATCTGTGTTTGCAGGATCCAACAATCCATTCTAATTCAACAAAGCAGTTTAAGTATCTGCTTGTACGTTTGCTTCACTGAATGATGATGCATTATGCAGGTGCAGAAAGCAACACTCAACTGGAACTACACTGAATCTTCTCCACTGGTGGCCCATGGAACTCAAAATCTTTATATAGAATGTTTGCCAAACGAGGCAAAGGAAAAACCAGGTGGTTCCATTCTCTGATGTTCAGATCCAGCTTTACAGTGGTCACAACTGAGCTGTTCAGAGCCTGGGCAGCAGTTGGCTACCACTTGACTTGTAAAATGTCTAATAAGAACAGAGCAACCTCAGTTGCTTCAGGAAAGCTTTTGCTTCCCCTCTGATACAAGAGCACTGTTCTTCAGCCAAAAGAGACTCCAGAAAATGCTCCATCTACTCAGGATTGTCCTGAGTAGCTGAAGTGACACTAGTGCTTGGTGGGTCCAACCATGCAGATGTGTTTCCTCTGGGCTGGGTCAGTCCAAGGAGTATTGGAAAAGGATTATTTCTCAGGTTACTTTTTGTCAAAAGGTAAAATTTTGAAAGCTTGTTTCATACTTGCAGCTATCAGAGAGAAATCAGGGGAATTTTTAAGTTGAGACATGGGAGTGCTTATCAGTAGCACTCAAAAATAAATATACCTGTGCCCTCCTTGCATGCACACACACAGAGTGAACTGGCAGATTTAACAAGTATAAAAACAGTTCCTGAGCTGTGACTATTAAGAGATGTCACGTTGACACACACACTGAACAACAAACAGAAACCAAACAAAAGAGACAGATGGACAAGCAGATGGGGAAAGACGGAAAAGCGACAGGAGCCACGGTGCTGGGGTACATCTGCTCCTGGAGACCCACTCTGGGCAGTGCCACTGAGCACCAGGGTCACTCCAGAACTCACAACTGCTCTCCAGCGATGGCTGCAGGGACTGGATGCCAGAGAGATCCTGCAAGAGCTGCTCCTCAGTGCCAGCTTTGAAAGGCTCCATTTCCACCAACGGGACCATGTTCTGACAGTCAGAAGCTGTCTGAGCTGGGGACCCTACTCCAGATGCATGTGGCCTAAAATGTCACGTCTGCTGTAGTGGTTTTCTCTCTTCCTTACCCAGTTCTTGGTCTGGGGAAGAAACTTTCAGCTCCCATCCAGTCCCCAGTTCCCCCTGGGCTGGAAGAGCACCACTATCCAGTGAACTAGTTACTGCAGCTCCTGGACAGGAACCAGCCTCCCTGCTGTGATTCCCTTTATGTCAACTAGGCAACAGGGCAAGGCAGGAGGATGGGCTGGAGGGGAAGATCCTCCAACCACTCCCTGAGTAAGAACATCAGTCCAAAACCAAAGAAAAGCCAATGCCCCAATCCACATCAGTGGTGCCCACGCCCATCAGCCCACCCTTCTGCTTCAGAAACCTCTGAGCTGGCTCTTCATGTCTCTACCTGGGTCTCAGTTCCTCCAGTCTCACACGGAGACCTTACCTGATCTCAGCTGCTTTATTCTCCCATTGCTGGCACTGGGGTCGACAGGCAGGAAATCTTTAAACCAAGTGATTTCTGGGTCTGGGTTCCCACTGGCTGCACAGAGCATCGTGGCTGTTCGTGTCCTCTCCACCACCTTCAGCTGGGGCCCCATATCAATGTTGGGGAAGCCAGGAGGTAACTGGTCCTCTGGAGGCAGAGAAGAAAGGGAGAAGGGTTAAAGACGTAGCAGAGGCAGAGCAGCTGACAGAGATCTTCAAGCTTCAGGCAGACTTGCTGCCCAGTGCTCTGTGCAATGCAATTTAAAACAAGGCTGCAGGAAATGGTCCATAAATGGTTTGTGAAAACACATTATACAGGAAAATTTACCAGCTTGTCCATTTTCTGGGACTATTCTAACGTCCCGCAAGAAGATTCGGAATTTAACTGCAATCCATTAAAACCCTCTGGGGCATGGGAAGAGTAATTTGAGTTTCTCCAGGTCCTGTGCTGACTCCCTTGGCCAGTCAGGGACTCGCAGTCCTTTGTTCTCCCAGGGAAGCTGTGCACACACGGCCGAGGTCCCTGCACACTCCAGAGGGGTTCATCTCCCTCCTCCAGCCCCCAGAGCACAAAAACTCCACGGGAGAAAGAACAAAAGTGACTCTGTAAAAAGAAGTGGCAACTAGGAGAGGAAGGAGAAGGAAACACCATCCAGCTGCAGTTACCAGAGGGGACACACAGAACAACAACATGCCCAGTGCTGTCAGACAGGGTGTGATTTTTAGATTTATTAATCCCCAGTGCTGCTGCCCTACGAGGAGGAGGCCGTGGCACCAGCACCCAGAAGACAGGCTCCACTGAGCTCCCTGCCTCCTCTCCATCTTGCCTTTGCCTTCGCTAATGAGGGTGAGGAGGCCAATCCTAACCCATGCTGACTAATTGGTGATAACTAAGACAAAACCCAGCACCTCCCCCATAATCTTGGTCACGACCTCCTAACTCACAGGGAAGAGAGTTGTCTTATGCTGGCTGACACAGCTCAGGAACAGGCTGGGGTCTCCCCCCCCCCGAAAATCAGTCTCTGGGGGTGGGCAGCTCGGAAGGAGGATGCCAGCACCAGGGTGAGACTTTGTAGGGATTCTTCATCATGTCAAATGAGGCGTGCTGAGGAATCACTGCCTTGGGAATCTGTGGCGTTGAATCCATCCCAAAAGCAGGTGAGGGAACAGAAGGGAAATAACAGAGGAATTAAAAAAGGTGGGATCTTCTAAAAAGCAACATCCCAATCAGCCCCCCACTGAAACCAACGGGAGCTCTCACAGCAGCAGCAGAGAGGGGCTGGAAACTCTCGCCTTGGTGGGGAAACAGCCCTGCCAACTGCAAACACGAGAGCTCACTCCCCACTGCTGGCACCACAGGTACCAGGGGGAATGGGGCCAGACGACTACGTGTGAACCCTGGGAGGGCAGAACAAGAGAGAAATCCCCTGGCCCATGGGGGTGCAGAGCAGAACCACCAGATCCCTGCACTGCTCCATGCGAGCTCCAAACACACCCTATCTGGGTAAGAGCTACTCCACACTGCTGTGCCTCACACTCAGCTTCTAAAAATCTCTGAAATCGTGAAGGCAGCTCAAGGTTTGTGCAGTGCTCTGACACCCAAGGCCAAGAAACTCTTGACATAATTCTGTTCTTAGCAGTGCTCGGCTACTGCAGGGAAAAAAGGGGTTTAAATGCCTCAATTGTGTGTTTAAAAATGTGCATTGTTTCCCTCCTCTGACCGTTGTAGGAGAGTTATAAAGGATCTATTGTGACTCACTGGGGAGTGAAATGGATTAGCCACACCTCTCCTCATAAATCAAAGGGATCTGACCACAAACACAAACAAGAGCCATTTTATAACTCCTAAAGTAACACCTAGTATGGACACACTTAAGAGCTGTATGAAGGTGCAGTGATCCTGCCCCATCTGAAGCACCTCTGACCCAGGACCCTGCTTAGAATAATTAGAAACATAACGATGTTTAACGAGGGACTGAACCAAACCCAGGCTTGGGCTCCAAGCAGCATCTGCTCCCGCAGCTCCCGCGCTGCAGAACCCCAGCCCCCAGGAGCGAGCCCTGGGAATTGCTTTGCCTTTGCACAGCTTCCAGCCAGGCTTTTAAGGTCTCCTCTTCCCTTCTGCTGTTTAACCAGGCGGGGGGGTGTTGCCAAGGAGCCGGGGAGCTGGAGCCTCATTGGCTGCTGGTGACATCATTATCGATTCCCTCTGTAATTTCGTGAACCAATTAGTGCTGGGAGGGCACAGCCCCCCCCCGGCTGGCAGGGAGCGGCCGTGAACATGTGTGCACATGTGTGTGTGTGTGTGCTGGGGGAGGCCCGGGACAACTATTATTACCCTGTGTTTCTAATTCAACAAAAATGTTAATCTCGCAGCACAACGTGCAGAATTCCTCTGAGTTTAATTAAACCGACTGCGCCGAGAGGCGTGATCAGATTTGGGGATCAGAGGAGTGGAGGAGGCATCTCTGAACATCACACCCGGCACCGACACAAGCGCTGGCGTCTCCTTCCTGCCCGGAGAGTCAAACTGCCTTCAGCCCCCAACCACTGGATTCCCTGTGATAATGCCATTACAGCCTCAGCTCCAGCCCCACAAGACGTGCCCGCTCGTGCCCTGCCACCCTCCCCATCAATCCCCCAACGTCATCCCAAACCTGTTACCAAATAAAGAAGGGATGGTTTGGATGGTGAAGTCTCTAAGTAAAAGCAGCCCAGGCGAGCGTGAGAACAAAAGAACCAAGACAGAAGCTGAAGATGCTTCAAGGGCACATCTGGGCAGCTGCCTGCTGCTGCAAATCACACCAGCTTACACAGGCAAATGTTTTCACGTGTTGCACCTGCCACATGAGCACAGCATCCCAAATACCTGCTCTTAGGCTGAGCTGTTTAAAGGTCCCCCTGCCACAAGGAAAAGCTGGAGAATTACCTCAAGGCCACCAAACGAAGTACAGTGAGAAAGAAGAAGGGAGGAGGGAGGCAGGGAGAGCAATCCAGCATTCATTTACAATAAATCCTAGCAGAGGACACACTCTGGGCTGGGCGACACGTCTCCAACCAGCCTGGACACACAGGGTCATACAAGGAACAAGGGTCACTGGCTATGGCCAAGGAGCCCCCGGTGGTCGCCGCCTTGTCACTCTAGAAGGTGGCAGCTCTGTGCTTAGCTAATTAGCTGTGCTGGAAAGGAGGATGA